TGGGATCACAGGTATATACACACCTGACAGGTATAGTGTCTTAAGGATGGCTTTCATGCTGCCAGTCTTGGGACCCTAGAGCCAGGATCAGGGAAATGGAGAAGCCAGACACTATGCATCTGAACTATACAGATTACATGCTAACAACATACAAAGGTAACTGTGGGGCCATGCCTGGAGCCGGCCCATCAGCAGGATGGTCATTGCCACCCAGGTCCCTCGCCACACACCCTGGAGACCCCAGTGAGACCAGGCCCGCTTCCCCTAACCCATCCAAACTCCAGTTAGGTGGTGGGTCCCATGCCGAGGTGGGTCTGTTTGTGTTCCCCCAACACACACACCTTGGGCAAAAGCTGATTGGCCTCTGTGTGGGACCTCGGGAGCTGGTGAGTGGGCTTCTTGTCCCTGCTGCCACCAAAGCATCCCTCTCACCTGTCCCGCTAGAGTGGTCACTGCCCCCTGCCATGGGCTTCCAGGGTCCCTTCCCACCTATAGAGGCCTTAGCAGGGGAAGAATCCAGAAAAGCCTTCCTCTCCCATTCCGGAACAAACCCAGGCCTGGCTTCTAAAGCCTGGGGTAATTGGGGATGCCCAAACCTGACAAGGGGGCTCCCGAGACTCTAACCTCCAGAGTCCACCCAGAGATCTGTCCAGGGAAGAGTGGGAAAGAATAGAAATCAATCCCTGCACCCTGGGATCCAGGAGGAAGTGCCTGTCCTATGTGGGACTGGGGAGGGAAAGAGTCCCCAGGGCCTTCGTGGAGCCCATCCTTTTGCTGGTAGCTTTCAAAACCTGCCCTTGGCACAATGGAGTGTGAGGGGTGAAGGCTTCCTCCAGTCTCTCTGAGTTCTGTTTGCTTGTGTTGTTTTGTTTTACTTCTTTGGAACAGAAGTTTCCATTAAAGAAAAGCTTCTTGCTTGGGGGATTTGATGCCAGGGGACATGGACCCTGGGACCCTGGGCTGGAGCCGCAGGCTGCAGAGTGAGCTCCCCGCTCCCCGCCCTGTTGCGCCATGGAGCCTCAGCGGCCAGGGAAGGCTCGGTGCCTTCTTGCTGGACGAGGTTTTCCTCTCTGTCCTTCACACAGTCTCTTGCTGGACTCCTGCACTCTGCTGCCTTCTGAGTAGTCCACACGGCTGGCTACGGGACCGGGACTTGACTCCTGTTGTCCTCTCCACTCTCCACCCCACACTGTCATCCGCTCTGCTCCTGTCCCACAGCCTCCTGTGCCCTGTGCCCTGTGCCTGGGGGCTCTTCTTTGTGTGTTAATGACTCGTGTCTCCCTTTGCCTCTTGCTGTGTTGTAGATTAGGCTGAGATTAGGCTTTCTGCCCCTTGGATGTACATCCTCGGGTATTAAGTCATCTTTCATATGTGATGGTTGCTGCTGTCTTTGCCTGTGTGCAGGCTGTTCATACTGCCTGAGCCCGGCACATGGCCTCCATTTCAAGGCGTCAGGTTAAACGGAGCTCTCACAGCACAGGGTTGCAACTTGGTTATCCCACGCTCTGATGGACAGCTTTAAATTCCTTGATTAAAATCCTAAGTACACAGGTTAAATTTGGGGCATTCTTTCACTAATCGAGGTGTGCCAAGATGGGAGCTGGGCACGCCTTTAATCCCAGCAATCTGGGAGACTGAGGCAAGAGGCCTGCAAGTTTGAGTCCATCTTGGGTAGCTTAGTGACTTAATGAGGCCCTATTTTAAAAAATAAAAAGGGCCAGCTGGACGTGGTGGCGCACGCCTGTAATCCCAGCACTCGGGAGGCTGAGGCAGGAGGATCGCTGTGAGTTCAAGACCAGCCTGCGCTACATAGTGAGTTCCAGGTCAGTCTCAACTACATAGTGAGACCCTGTCTCAAAAAAACAAACAAAAAAAAAGGGCCAATGATATGGTTCACAGCAAAGGCCCTGGTACCATGGAAGAAAAGAAAAAGAGCATGATTGGAAACTGGGGCACCGTGGTGCATGTCCAGGACTGCAAATTCAAGGCCAGCCTGGACAACTTAGCAGGACCCTGTCTCAAAAAAGGGCTGAAGGTGTAGCTCAGTGGTCAAATGCCCCTGGGCTTCATCCCTGGTACTGAAAGGGGGTTGAAAATAAAAAGGAAACTGTTGTGCCTGGTGCTTGTAAAAAGTATTTTGAATTAGATATATGCACATTATTGCCATTTCTTTACTCAGTTGAAAGCTTACATGTCAAATACATAAACATTTTTCAGTCTTGTCAGTTTGTAAAAAAGAACCTGCCCTTGGGTTCCCCCACGGGAGGAGAGTAAGGAAGAGGGCGAGGCAGTCACCCCTCCACTGTGGACACCAGCTGTCCCCAGTCCGCTAGCTTACATCACTTACAGGAAGTAAGAGCCGAGTCACTGCCCTGTCTCCTCCTTGCTCCAGACATGTACTAGGCAGTGCCCATGACTTGTGGTTCCCAGCATGAAAGAAAGGCCATTTCCTACCAGCCTCCCTGCTTCTTGGCCCTGCTTGAGTCTTCTAGAATGAACCAGCCCTCTAAGAAGCCCAGTCACCCTTGGTCCCAGGGAACACAGGTGGATGACACTGACGTTACATTTTGTGCTCAGCTAGAGGCATAACTGGCCCCTGTCCCAAATGTAGACAGGGGCAGGATGACAAAGGAATGGCCCTCTCCAATGTGGTATGAAGGCCAGTACTACAGGAGCAATTGGAAGGGGGCCTAGTCCAGCCTGGGTGTGCTGCAAGGGATGAATCTTTTCCTTCTTTCTTTCTGGTCTTGAACTTGGGGCAATCCTCCTGCCTCAGCCTCCCAAGTACTGGGATTACAGGTGTGTGCCACCACACCCAGTTGCAAGGGTTGAATCTTGAAGGACCACCTAGACTTCTCTCTGGACAAGCATTTCAGAGCCACAGCAGCCATGGTCCTGAGGAGGGACCAGCTGTTCAAGAAAGGAAGCTGGAGGACCAAGTGGACATAAACATTATGTGTGTGACCTGGGACTTCTGGGAGTGTGGGAGAGGAAAGTCCCTTCATGCAAAGTCGAGTCTGGTGGAGGAGTGGGGTCCCAAAGAGAAGCTGGGAGTCCTCAGAGCCCAGACACAAGAGACAACTAAAGTCCCAAAGGTTTCGGGCTCTGATTGTCCCTGAGGCTGTGGCCAGGTACCCCAAGTCCTACGAGGCCTGGACACAAGGATGCTGGGAAGAGTTGGGTCCATCTACTGAGAGACTCAAGGAAGATAAGCGGCAGAGTAAAGGTCATGGTATCCTGGGCAAAGTCCCCTAAAAGACCGCTAGCAGAGTGGCTGTTTATTAAAGGCAGTAGAGAAGGCTTCTGCACGGAGGAGACAGGACAAAGAAGAGGTAGGAACCAGGTGAGTGGGCAGAGTGGAGTAGGAAGGGCAGAGGGAAGCCAGGGAGGCTGGGAGGGCCTGAGGAAATCAGCAAGTATGGTTGCTGAGGAGATGGAGTCTCTGAGGAGGGAGTCAGGCCATGGAGAAGGCCGTGGAAATAGGACATGATGGCACCACAGACGATCCAGCAGCACCCGGGGCTTTTCCATTGCTGAGGAAACAGCCTGTACCTCAGTTAAGCCAACAGGCTCCACAAGCTGGGGTTCCTATAACCCCTTCCCTTTAGCCCAGGACCCAAGAAGATCCACAGAAACTCTGGAAACCACCAGAAGTATAAAACTCCCTCATCTTGCCTAGCCCTCCGCTCACTCCTCTTGCCTACCGCAGCCTGGAGTCTGCGTGTGGCTGAGGTCGGAGGGGTACGTGAGGCCAGGGAGGGGGAAGTGAGCTGCGTCTTGAGGGGACTGGATAAAGCTCTGAATTTGGTGTGGGGACCTAGGGACAGCGGGGGCTTCTGTGGTGAGGAGGCGTGGCCTGGGGTGGTGCTGGACTAAGGTGTACCAGGCTGCACCTTCCGGAGCCAGACATGTGAAAGGTACATGAGCTGAGTGAGTGCGGCTGTGTCCCTGTGGGTCTCTGGAGCCTGTGAGTCTCTGGGCTTGTCTGCAGGTGTTGATGTAAGTGCATATCTGTATTTGTGTGCAGTGTGTGTCTTTGTACAACAGTAGGTGACTGCCATGCATTTGCATATCTACTTGTGTGACTTTCTGAGTGTGCGTGAGTGTGTGACTGTGCATGTCTGTGTGTCTATATGTCAGTGAGGTATGTACTTTCGTGTGCCTGTGTGTCAGGATTTTTCTGTGTGCAGCTGTGTGACTGTGTGTCTTCCTATGCATGTGTGCGCCTTTGAGAGACTACATATGTCCCCGTGCCTGTGTGCCCCTGCACAACTCTGTGAGTGTGACCTGGGTGCTTGGAGAAGGCCATGTGGGTGGCAAATATTAGTCAGCATGATTGTGGGACTTGACTCTTGAACTTCCTGTGAAAGGAGTGTTGTAGGGTGATTTCAAAGGGCCTTTGGACAAGCCCCAAACTTTATCTTTAAAGCTGTGGGTCAAGTGTTAAGCTGGGGTGTGTGAGCTCCCTGGCGACATGCAGTCCTGGAATTTTTACCTTGGCCTCTGCAACAGCGCTGACAGTAAACTTGGATTGCTCATGTGACATTGCAAATGACTGGTATGCCACAAGCTAGGTCATAAATGTTTGGAAATGAATCTATGGGTTCCTTTGAGGTCATTGGCAGGGACTTCACCAGCCCTAGAAGTCTGCACCATTCTCTAATCAGTTAATGAGTGGTCCAAGAGGCCCCACCAGCTGACTGGCTGGTGCTGTAAAAACGGAAAAGAATTCCACCCACCTGCTTGAGGTCATTGGTCATTGCTTGCCCTATCCCCTGCTCCCCTTCCTGTCACTTCCTATCAAGCAGTCTTTGGAAGTGGGTAAAAGGGAAGACTTCAAGGCTGGTGCGTGGCCCTCTGGTCACCTCCCAGGGAGTGGTGCACCTCTGTGATACCTGTGCTGGGGCATGAGGAAGAGACAGTTCCAGCCACCCAGAGAAAGTGGCAGGTAGACCAAAGGAGGGCTGACAGCACCAGGCTCCATTGTATTTCCTCCCTAGACAGTGGTCACTAAGTGACCTCAAGGCTTGGTGGCGCTGGTAGCAGAGGATGCCCCAGGTCCTAGAGCACGCGGATGGCAGCTGGTCCTGGATGGTACTTCTGGCCTCCTTGGTAACCCAGGCCCTCACTGCAAGCTTCCCCACCTGCGTTGGTGTCTTCTTCACTGATCTGCAACGTGACTTCCAGGCCAGCAACAGCTACACCTCCTGGTTCCCCTCCATCCTAGGGGCCACGCTCCAAGCTGGAGGTGAGCATCCTGGGGAGCAGGGCAGGAAGGGATAAAAAGGAACCTGGGTGGGGGAGCAAGCCACAGCTTCCCTGGCCTCCTGAGGCCATTGGCTTTGCCTTCTGGGTGCATTTCTATAATTACCTGATTTGATTTCAGTAAATCCAGTACCTCTGCCTGGTATTCAGCTGAACTGAGTGCCCCCAGGAAGCTGAGCTGGGCTAGGGATGGGGAGAGTGAGGAGACCATGAGGTGCAAAGCCAAGCACAGTGCTAGAGTACCCTCCATGGCCACTGGAGGACGAGTCCAGACCCTAGATGCACAATGGGAGAAGCCAGTGTTGGTGCCAGCAGGACCGGGTTCTATCACTTTCCAGCTGGGCAATTTCTTGGAACCCAATTTCTTCCTCCCTCTGCAAGATGGAAGTAACACCCTTCATCCTGCTTAACTGCCCCCTGGAATGATAGGACCCCAGACCAAATGGGCCCCAGAGGTGCTGGGAGCTAAGGAATGTATGGGTTTCATAAGGTCCTGAGTTTGATCTCCAGTACCAAAAAAAGAAAAGAAAAGAAATCTATGGGCTAGCTAGTCGTGGTGGGGCACACCTGTAATCCCAGCACTCTGAGACACTGAGGCACGTTTGCAAGTTTCCAATCCAGCCTGTGCAATTTAGCGGCTTAGAAAGATCCTGTCTCAAAATTTAAATAAGTAAATAAATGTAAATATATAGCTCAGTGCAAAGACCCTAGGTTCCATCATTAGAAGAAGAAGAGAGAGAGAGAAGGGGGAGGTAAATATAGGGCTGTGAATTATTCATATTTTAGAGACCCCCCCATTGGGCTTCAGGATGGAAAAAGGGGTTTAGGGGAAGACTTGAACAAACAGAGGTGCAGCAAGAACCCCATCTCTGCCTGGGGCATCCCACAGGGAGAGCTTGCCAGGTCTGAAACTGGAGAGGAAAGGCAGTCCCTCCTCCTTCTCCTTACCCCACCCCCAGGACTCAGAGGCCCCTACCTTGTTGGCCACTCCAGGAATGTGATTCACCCTGACCCAGCTCTCCAAGGAGACCCCACTTATCAACAGGAGCCAGACCTGACCACCCACAGGCTCTCCCATGTGCGGTCTTCTCTCAGCTGACCCCAGCTCTCTCATTACCTCTCTGCCACTCCCTCCACCTGGCACCTGCAGCCTGCTTATTATTCTGTGTCCTTCCCTGACATTGGGAGGGAAGGGGAAGGGAAATTGCCACTTTCCAAATGACCCTTGGATCTGTTCCTTGGAGCTTGGGTTCAAGGAGAGGGAAAAGGCCAGGCCTGGCCCAGACTATGTGGCAACTTGGCCTGCAAGGTTGAGGTGGGCAGTGGGACCCTCAGTTGGCCCTTTCTCACACAGCAGAGAGGAGCCTGGGTGGGGGCTGGGAGCCAGGCATCCCGGGTGGTTCGTTACTCACCAGCCAGCTTTGGGCTCACCACCTGGAGCAGGTATACCAACATCTCTGTCTGTCCATCTGTGGCTTACACACATGGACATGTGCATTCATGAAATGTTAAACTTGAGTGTGCCACTGACCCTTTGAAACAGCCCCATGCACACACACACATCAGAGGTGAGGAGAGCAAAGACAGGCAAAGTGCGAGGCAGGCCCAGGGCTGCTGAATCCTATATGGAGAAGCAGTGCCCTGTGTGCCCGCCCTGCGGAGAAAGCCTCCAGGGCCCCACCCCAGACCCAACCCCAATTCCAACTCCAGGACTCAGGGCTTTTCCCAATGTCACCTGTCCTGAATCAGGCCAGTCTTGGGCGTGGGGAAGGTGTACGGGCCAGGAGCCACACCCACTCCAAAGTCTCACCTCTCCCTCCGCATCAGTAGGGACAGCTTGTCAACCGTGTCCCTTTGATTGACTCCCGGGATGGGCTGCCCGCTCACTCTTGCTACCACACATGCACATGGGCGCATTCTCCTGACCCTCTCTGGCTGCACTCCGGAGCAGAGTGCACTTAGAGAAGCTCCATCATGTGTGCTTGGAGACAGGGCTCTGGGTGAATGTAACCCCCGCAAAGTATCCAAAAACAGCTGGCTGGACTGGCTGGTTTCTAGTGGTCAAGGTGTGGGCTGGTAAGAAAGCAGCTGGGATGGAGGACAGCCCCTCTCCAGGGGAGCCAAACATCTGATTGTGGATGAGGGGGTTTTGGTAACTGAGGATTTGGGTCATTTGGTGCTGGGAATTGAACCCAGGACCTTGAACACCCTAAGTTCACACTCTACCCCTGAGCTACATCCTCAGCCCCAGGTATGGATTTTGGTGGTGGCTGAAGGCGATGTGAGAGGGGAGAAGCTACTTGGCTTGTTTTTCTCCAGAACACTCCAGAGGCCAGAGTGAGAAGGTTCGGGGTGGCCCAGGGCCTTAACCCAGCTGTGTAAGATGAAAGGCAGAGGGAAGGCAAGTCTGCTAAAAGATTAGAAGCTGTAGGAGCTCACCGAGATTTAGATGCCCTGAGACACTTCATCTGTGAGAGACCTCAAGCAAGGGTGGTCCATCCAGGTCATGAACAAACCCTGTTTCACCCAGATGGAACTGGCTGTGGGTCCTCAGGTGGTGGGGGGCCTTGATCTGCCTCTCTGGAGATCCTTGTTGGGATGAAACATGGCTCAGCCTGATCTCTCACTCTGTAAGAGAAGAAACTGAAGCATAGAGAGGGGTCCAGCCTTGCTCAGGTCACATGGCCAGTCTGGGGCAAGGTGGGCATCTGAATCCAAGCTGGCAGGCTTCAGGTCTCACGCCCTTCAAGCCCCCTGGCTAGCCCTTGCTGGTGAAGGACCTCACTGTCCCCAAAGCGGGCCTCCTCATTCACCTGCTGCCTGCTGTCTGCTTCCCACAGGGCCCCTGTGCAGCATCCTGGTGGGACGCTACGGCTGCCGAGTGACCATGATGCTGGGTGGCGTGCTGGCCAGCCTGGGCATGGTGGTTGGCTCCTTCTCCCACACACTCAACCAGCTCTTACTCACAGCCGGAATGATCACAGGTGACTTTCATCCCACCTAAACGGGAGGCAGAGAGTGTGGTAGGGCCCTGGCCTTGGGTAAGAGTGGGCAGATGTGAAACAAGAGGTAAAATGGCCAGGATTCTTAGAGCAGAAAATAAAAGAGGGTGAAGAGTCTGCTCTTCTCAACAGGGGAGTCAGGGGGGCCTTGGAGAGATGACATTTGATTAGTGTATTCATCAGCTGTCTGTCACTATAACAATACCAAGACAATTCGTTTATGAAGAGATAAGGTTTATTTTGGTTTACCGTTTTGGAGATTTTGGTCCATGGCTTGGGCCTGTGGCAAGGCAGCACATCATGACAGGAAGCAATTGGGGGGTCCAAGCTGCTCCTGACAGGGAGCAAAAGAGAGAAAGAGGAGGGGCCAGGGATTTAGCTCAGGGGCACCACACCTGCCTCACAAGCGCAAGGTCCTGAGTTTGATCCGTGATACCATAAGGTGGGGGGGAGTATCCCCCAGTGACACAGAGTCCTCCTGCTAGGCTTCACCTCTTAAGGCCTTCACTACCTCCCAAAAGCACCAAGCTAGAGACTGAGCCCTTAGCACATGGGATGTTGAGGACACTTATCCAAACCATAGCAAGCAGGGAGGTAGCAAAGGTTAGGGAATCTGGCCTGAGGCTCTGTGGGGAAGAGCATGGCAGAGGGAACAGTGAACACAAAGGCCCTGAAGTTTAGGAGCAGAAAAGGGCAGATATATGAACAAAGGGGTCAAAGAAGTGGGAGGGAGGGTAGATGGGGGGTTAGCTCATAAAAAGCTGCATAGTGAGATGGGGAGCCATCTGAGGGATTCAGCTGAAGGGTTCTTGCAAAGTATCTCTCTGGCTACGTGTCTATAGGGGCAAGGCTAGGAGAGGTGGAACAAGTAGGGGTTGGCCACGAGCCAGACAAAGTGGTCATTGCTTGAGTGGGATGACAGAAGTGATGGGAAGAGGTGACGTGTGGTGTGCATGTCAGGTCAAGGATGACCCAAGGTTCCAAGAGACAAGGAGGTGACCCCAAAGATTCTTGCCTTAAACTACTGGATGGAGCAGGCATCAACCATCGTGGGGAAACTGGCAGGAGCAGGTTTGGGGAAGATGGGCAGCTCAGGTTTGAACAGGCCCAGTCTGGAGTTCCAGGCAGAGGCCCTGAGATGGTATGCACAGTGCAGGATTCATGAGGTGGGTGACAGCAAAGACTTGAGATGAGGAATCACCCAGCTGTCACTGAAGAAGTGAAGGTGACGACTGAAGAGGCCTGAAGCCTGAGCCTGGGCACTCTAGTGATGAGAGGCCTAGACAGGAAGTCACTGGAGAAGGAGAAAGATCAAGAGAGAAACTTTCTGGGCTGAGGATTTAGCTTAGTGGTTCCGCTGCCTGCCTTGCAAGTGCAAGGACCCAAGTTTGATCCCTGGTACCAAAAAAAAAAAAAAAAAGAAAAAAAAAAAAAAAAAGAAAAAAAAAAAAAAAAAGAAAAAAAAAAAAAAAAAGAAAAAAAAAAAAAAAAAGAAAAAAAAAAAAAAAAAGAAAAAAAAAAAAAAAAAGAAAAAAAAAAAAAAAAAGAAAAAAAAAAAAAAAAAGAAAAAAAAAAAAAAAAAGAAAAAAAAAAAAAAAAAGAAAAAAAAAAAAAAAAAGAAAAAAAAAAAAAAAAAGAAAAAAAAAAAAAAAAAGAAAAAAAAAAAAAAAAAGAAAAAAAAAAAAAAAAAGAAAAAAAAAAAAAAAAAGAAAAAAAAAAAAAAAAAGAAAAAAAAAAAAAAAAAGAAAAAAAAAAAAAAAAAGAAAGAAAAGAAAAGAAAAAGAAAGACAGAAAGAAAGTTTCCATCACTGGGACAAAATACCTGACAAAAATAGCTTACAGAAGAAAAGGTTTATTTTGGCTCTTGGTTTCATAGCTTTCAGTCCATGGACTGGAGGCAAAAACATCATGGCACAAGGGCATGGTGAAGGAAAGCTGCTCAATTCCTGGCATCTGGGAAGCAAAGAGAGAGCAAGGAAGAGACAGTGAGGAAGAGGCTAGAGACAGAATACAGTTCCCAAGGTCATGTCCCCATGACACAACTCCTTCAACTGAGCCCCACTTCTTAAATTTCTGCCACCTTCCAATAATGCTATTAAATTATGGTCTCACCAATGGATTGATCCACTGAAGTTAGAGTCTTCACGATCTAAATCATCTCAGAAGCTCTACCTCTGAACCTGGAGACTTTAAGGGAACATCTTAGATCCTGCATAACAAACAATAAAGTGCACCACACGGCTGATGGTTTGGGTAAGATGAGAGCTAGGCTCAGCATCAGCAATGTGGCCTTGATAAGAGTGAGTATGATGTGGAGGGAGGATCACAGCCTGGTCAGAATGGATTCAGATGTTAAAGTTAAATGTTCGGCTTGCCAGCCAGGCATGGTGATGCACCCCGTAACCCCGGTTAAGGCAGGAGGATCGCTGCAAGTTTGAGGTCAGCCTGGGCTACTTGAACTGCATAGTGAGACCTTGTCTCAAAAAATGTTAGGCTTCCCCAGCATGGCTCGGTGCTCAGCATGGGGTTGGGAGAGATGGTGAGGAAGGGAAAGAGGACAGGAAGGGAAGGATTAGAGACTAGCAGAAATAATACTTCCATGCTTTGTTTTTATTGTTGTTGTTGTTGTGCTGGGGATGGAACTCAGGAGCATGCACCTGATTGCCCACTGTGAGGACATTCACGGCTCTACTTGCAGCCTTTTCCATATGTATCTTTTTTCTTTTGGGGAATCGAACTCAGGGCCTTAAGCTTGGCAGGCAGGTGCCTCTGAGCTACATTCCCAGCCCCCATCCACACATTTCTATGTAAAGGCACTAGAGAAATGACTGGTATCCAACAGGAGCTGTGATATAAAGAGGATTTTTTTTCCCATACTGGGGATTGAACCCAGGGCCTTTGCACTAATACTAAGTTGTGTCCCTGGTTTGTTTTTTTTTTTTTTTTTTTTTTCCTTATAGGGCCTCACTAAATTATCCAGGCTGGGCTCAAACTTGTGATGTTCCTGCCTCATCCTATGCAATCATGTGTGGCTTTTAAAATTTTTTATGTTTTTAAATAGAAGAGTGATCTAGTAAAGAGGGGAGGAAAGGAAAAGGATGAGGGGAAATTGCCTGGCTGCAGGGTAGAAGTAGAGGGTTGGCCACTAAAAGCATGGGGGCCATCATTCCAGATGGGCAGCTGAGTGTGAGAATGGAGAGGAGACGTTAGGTGAATGCAGAGAGAGGCCCCGAGGATCTCCTAGGACTGCAGGCAAGTCCAGGGGAGCCACAACAGCAGGGGCAGCCTGGGGCCCACTGAGGGCATTCACGGCTCATTCCAAGCTTTGTCTCCATCACACGCAGCTGTGTGGGTGCAGCACAGAGCAGTGGGGAGCGGGGAAGCCTCTCTGCAGGGAAAGCGCTGTCTGAGTGGAAGCCGGAGTAGGAAGTCAGAGTAAAGCATGTTCCAACCAGGGGAAAGTGGCAACTACCAATGTACCAAGTAGGGCAAGTTGGTGTATAGAGGGAGAGAAAGAAACTGAGGTTGCCCAGGGATTTAGCTCAGTGGCTCTGCTGCCAACACAAGGTCCCAAGTTTAATCACTGGTACAAAAAAACAAAAACAAAAAACTGTGATGGCTTAATCCAGGTGAATGACAGGAGTAACCTAAAATGTCATCACACAGAGCAAACCACACAGAGCCTTCGGGGCACAGTAAATACTTTGGTTGTTTTTCAAGTGTGATGAAAAGTTTCTGGAAAGTACTAAATGGGGTTTTTAGAGATCACTGTGGTGCTGGGATGGGAACTAGTTGCTCCTGGCAGGCTAGGGAGGGCAGCTCCAAGGGTGAGCTGCCTACAGGGTGATGCTGAGGCAGGCAGATTCCATCTTCAGTCATGGGACTTGCAAGTGGGTCTGGGCTAGAGCTGAAGGAGGCAGCCATGGGATGTGACTCCAGAAATCTCCTGCACACCCCTGAGCTGTCTCTCCCCTCTCACACACAGGCCTGGGAATGAGCTTCAGTTTCCAGGCCAGCATCACAGTGCTGGGCTTATACTTCATCCGCCGGCGGCCGCTGGCCAATGCACTGGCCTCCATGGGCATCTCCCTGGGCATCACCCTCTGGCCACCATTTGCCCGCTCCCTCCTGGAGAACCTGGGCTGGAGAGGCTCCTTCCTTATCTTCGGCGGGGTCTTCCTCCATTGCTGTGTCTGTGGGGCTATCATCAGGCCTATAGCCACCAATGTGGTCCCAGAGACCGAAGAAGATCTTCCTCCCCTTTCCAAGACACCAGCACAAGGCTGCCTGGCGGCGTGTGTCTCTGGCATCCAGCACCACCTGGCCTTTGACATCCTGCGGCACAATGCAGGCTACTGTGTCTACACGCTGGGTGTGACGTGGATGTTCATGGGTTTCTCGCTGCCACATATCTTCCTGGTGCCATATGCCATGAAGTATGGAGTGGAGGAGTACCGGGCGGCCCTGCTCATCTCCATCTTTGGCTTCTGCAACATCTGCCTGCGCCCCGTGGCGGCCCTGGTGATAGGCCTGCCACGCTTTGCCTGCTACCGGAAGTACCTGTTCACGCTGGCAGTCCTGCTCAATGGGCTCACCAACCTGGTGTGCACAGTGTCAGCCAACTTTTGGGTGCTGGTGGGCTACTGCGTGGCATACAGCATGTCCATGTGCGGCATTGGCATCTTCCTCTTCCAGGTCCTCATGGAAATTGTTCCCATGGACCGGTTCCCCAGTGCCCTGGGACTCTTCTCCATCATTAGTGGCATTGCTCCCCTCATCTCCACACCGCTGGCTGGTGAGGCTCTGGGGGAGAGGGCATGCGGGGATGTCTGGGGGGCTGTGGGTGGGGCAAAGAGGAATAGTCTGGGCAGATTTGGGCCACATTCAGCACCATCTCCAGGGATAGGGAGTTAGCATCTGTGATTTTTTCCCCCAGTACCCTAGGGCAGTGGTGGCAAACCTATGGCATGCATGCTGCAGAGGGCTGTTGGTATCATCAAAAGCTCTAAGAGGTTCCCCATCACTGCCTTAGGGACTGTTCTCCACCTGGTGGGAGTAAAAACAGTTGAAAAAAATGGGTTTGCCCACCAGCTCTACCTGAGATCATCTTCCTCTCTCTACCTCAGTTTTCTTATCAATGAAATGAGGAGGAAAATAGAATCTATCTTAGGGGCTTACTGCACTACCCCAATTTAAGCAGTAAAGAGCTTAGCAGAGAACCCAACACATAATAAGCACTACACACATTTGCTGTTGTTATTTCCTGGTTCTCTTACTCCCTACCTATAAGACCTGGGCAAGTCATTTTCCTCTCTGAGCCACAAATATAAGCTTCAAACTGCAGAACAGAAGCTGGGTGTGACAGCACACATTTGTAATCCCAGCTACTAGGGAGGCTGAGACAGAGGATTGCAAATTTGAAATCAGCTTGGGCAACTTGGTGAATTAGCAAGAACCAGTTTCAAAAAATAAGAAGGACCAGAAAGGTCCTGAATTCGATCCCCAGTACCAAAAAAAAAAAAAAAAAAAAAAAAAAAAAAAGGACTAGAAATGTAGCACAGTGTGAGGCCTGGGTTCGATCCTCAGTATTAAGAGGGTACGAGATATGAGGAATACAGCACTTTCCTAGGTCTAGTACTTCCTCCTTTCATTCATCAAATATTTGAGAGCTTGCTCGGTGCCAGCAATGATTCCTTGTGCAGTAGTGGCAAAAATAAAATCTCTGCTCTCAGGGAACACATAAGTTAGTGGGAAAGAGGCCTGACAGGCAGCCCTGGGCAGTAGCCTAACTTGCTGTCTGTCCCCTAGGCTTGCTCCTGGACAACACTGGTAACTTCAGCTATATTTTCTACATGTCAAGCTTCTTCCTCAGCTCAGCCGGCCTCTTCATGGCTGGAGGCTTCTATTACCTGCAGAAGAAGGAGCAGCAAGGCAGGCAACCCAAGGTTGAAAGAGCCATCTCAGAGACTAGCTTGATGCAGGGGCCTGTGTCGGAAGGCAAGGACAGTCCCAAGGAACAGCCGCGCCTTGAGATCGTGTATGTGACCAGTGTCTGAGCCCTGCTCAGCGAGTGACATTCCTTCCTGCCAGCAGAACGCAGGAGGCCTCTCTGGCTTTCTTCCTTGGGTCTGAGAAGGCGTTCCTGAGCCCTGCTAGGGGCGGTCAAGGCACGCTCAGCTTGGTGGGAGGCTTATTGCAGCTGCTACGCCCCAACAGACTGAACCTTCAGACCCAACCTTCGGGTTTCCAGCATCAGCTCTCCTTGTCCTTCTCTGGCCTCAAGACAGTTCTCAAAGAGATTTTGCTTCCTCCGGGGTCCCAAGTGATCAGCCTTGACCCTTAGGACAACCAACATTGGGATTATGGCTGCCCTACACAAGTGGCTTCATCTCACACCAAATGGAACCCTGAGAGGAGCAGCAATGGAAGGACAGGCTGGGAAGTTGGCCCGGAGGCAGGATGGGGACAGAATGAAGGTCGGGTGGAACACCTGCCTGTCCTTGCCTATACAGAGAGCAGGAAGGGAGCCCTTGCTTTGGGTCCCCAAATCTGGGAAATCTGAGGGGACCCTTGGTACCTCAGCAGTGACTGCTCCAGAGTCTCCTCTCCTTTGTCCCACTCTCTCTCCTTGGTGGGGAGGTTTAGTGTTGGAGCCCAAGGAAGCCAGGTATTTGACTGACCAGGAGAGGGGAAGGGTTGCTAAGAAGCCTAAGCACCATGATGGAAATAGAACTGCATTTGCAACAGAAGCCCTGTGCTCCCCTACCCCACTCCCCGGGCTCCTGAGGCCCTTCTCCCTCCTGAGTTATAAGTGTCATCCCTATAATCTCAGCACTTGGGAGGTTGAGGCAGGAGGATCACTGAGTTTGAGGCCATCCTGGGCTACACACCGAGTTCACCACGAACTACAAGGGAGAGCCTATCTCAAAACTTAAAACTGGAGAAAGAAGAAAAGTGCCAACCTAGGACAGTAGCTGGCTGGGCCTGCGCCTGTGGCCTAGAGGCCAAAGCTACCCTCCTCACACACACTTTGCTTGTATGTCCCTGAAGCCATTACCAGCAAGGTACCCCAGGAAATGGGAAAGCAGTTTGTTTAAATCATACACAAAAACGTTGTCTGCAGCAGATCATAAACTTTGAACTAGTAAAACTAGAAAACAGGCTCAGAGTAAATTTCCTCCCTGCCCCCTTCCTTTTTCCCAGGTTGTCAGGGGCTGCTCAGCTTCCAGCCTTGTTTGTTGATTCAGGCTCAGTCAGACTCAGTCAGGCTCAGTCAGGCTCAGTCAGGCTCTGGCAAGAAAATATCAGGAGGAATTACTTTATTTTCATGGCCTGACTGCCAGCCTTCCTCCTCCACATGTCCACCTGGCAAGAGTAAGAATCCCTGGGCCGAAGATTTAACTCAGTGGTGCCACTGCCTGCCTGGCAAGCACAGGGTCCCAAGTTTGATCCCCAGTACCAAAAAAAAAAAAAAAGAATCCTTGGGCTGTCCTGTCTCCTCCAGGCCCCTGCCACAGATGCCCCCTTATAACCAAAGGAGGTAGTGCAGCAGGCAGCAAAGGGTTTTGGGCTGGGATATGGACCTGAGTTCTGTATTTCACTGCCACAGTATGCTACATGGCTCTGGGCAAACTGTTCACCATCTCTGGGCCTTAAAAAGACGTGGTTAGTCTGGATGAGCTAAAACCTCTCAATTTGAAAAGTATGAGCTGGGTATTTCAGTACACAGCTGTACACAGCTGTACACAGCTGAGGCAGGAAGATTGAGAGTTCAAGGCCAGCCTGGGCTACATATGAGACCCTGTCTCAAAACAAAGACTGACTCTGTTGACCCCCCCAGGGCCTTATAGCTTTCCACTCAGTCCTGAGCTCAGCTACCCATCACACCATGTGTTCTGAAGGAATAGTGCTGGGACACATTTTTCCATCTCAGCTAAGTGAAATAGGAGGGAGTTGAGGCTGACAGGCAGGTGATTGAGGTGCTGGTATCCACCAGGCTTTGAGATTTTGTGTATCCTCAAAACAATTAAGGAACAAAGACAGCGATGAACCTTCAGCATAGGGAATCTTAATCTCATCTACCTCCAGGCAAGATGGCCAATAATCTCTGGGTAAAATGGAAATAAGAAATCTCTAGAAAGAATTCCTCCAACCAGTATTTACTGAGTGCCGGGGGCGGGCACAAAGGCATACGGCCTGTCACCGTCCTCGACACAAAACCAAATACTAAGAATTTTTCTTCAAGGAGGAGGGCCTCTGAGGTCCTAGAAGTAGACCTGACACCAGTGAGGAGGACTGGGATGGCCAGTCTGATTCTACAACCCACACTTAGCTGATTCCCTGAGAATATTGAGGAGAGGGCCTGGCGTCATTCATGTGGGAGGAAGCTTGGGATTCACTTTCATCCTGCCCCGAAGCTCTGGCTCCTGGTCCACAGGCCTCTGCTGCTCTGTCCAGAGAAAAGCAGAGAAGAGCCTTGGCCACCCTGACCTGAGATACACTTCCTCAGGCCACTTGGGCTTGCCACAGATGCCAAAGAGCCTAGGACCTCACCAAGCAGGCAGGGTATTTAAGGTCAAAACTCCTGCCCCAGCTGTACATTTGGACAAAGCTGGCCATAGGGGTCTGGAACATCAGAGATGGGGACTCCTCTGCCCTGATGCAGGCCCTCAATGCCAGGCCCAGAGCATAGTTACATGAGCCTTGTCCTCAGGAAGCTCACAGCCCAACCCTCATCTACCCCTACATTTTCAAGGATGATGCAAACATGGCAAGGTCACCTCCCTTCCAGGTGCTCTGTTCCCTACAACCATAACATCTTAGTCACACACCACCTTCCTGAGAAGCCCTGAGACAAGTAATCAGGCCAAAGAGTTTCAGCATCCCTGGCTCCACAACCCAGAAAGCCACCAGTACAGTACTTTGGGGTGATCTGAGGGGCTTTTCAGTGCTCCTTAGTGCTGCCCAAGATTCCCCGTGCCCATCTGGCTGACAAAGTAACTTATAATCGACTAAGTCTCTGTATCTGGCCAGAGGTGGGAAGTTCAGCTCAAGGTTGGAGTGGAGGGAGTGTTAGAGTTACCCAGCTTTTTGGAAAAGCCATACTGGAAAATTGGTGGCACACGCTTGTAATCCCAGCACTTGGGAGGCTGAGGCATGAAGATCCCCATGAGTTCAAGGCCAGCCTGGAATACATAGTAAGTTCAAGGAAAGCCTGAACTACACAGTGAGACTATCACAAAATTTAAAAACAACAACAAAAACCCAAACAACAAAAACTAAACAAAATAACAACAAAACAAAAACAAACAAACAAAAAGGAAGTGGATCAGTTTCAAAGCTTTTAAATTAAGGGAATATACGTGGAAACAAGAGAATAAGAAGTCAACTCAACTTTCAAAGACTATGTGTGTGGTTAGCAGACACCAAGAAGCCAGAGCCAAGCACAAGATCACAAAGATCAAATCCACGGATGCAAGGGAAGAATGTATCCTGCTCCAAAACCCAATTAGGAACAAATTCTAAGTGATAAGGAACAAATCTATGCATAGTCACCTTTATTGGTGCAATAAAAAATCACACCCTGAAGTGGAGACAAGATAGTAATACATGTATCCCATAAAGAGGCATGGTATTGTACATCTTTATCCTTTGTTTTGGTCGGCCTGGAGTTTCTGTCCCCCACGGCTTTCCGCCTTGCGTTCAAACATAAGAATAAACGCTTTGTTCCTGTGGCAGGTGCTTCTGTTTGATTCTTTCGATGAAAACACAAGACGTGCACGGGGGGGCGGTCTAAGGAGTTGAACTCGAGAGGAATAGCAATCTAGGAAATCAGGCAGCACACACACACAAACACACACGCGCACGCGCGCGCACCCTTCACTAGGTGCTTCTGCGACCGTGGCTCTTCTACACTGAAGCTCTCCAACTCTCCTATGCTCCTGAGGCCATCTACCGTCCGCCTCTGTTATGTGCCTGGCCTACAGAGGGGAGAGCGGGAAGGAGCATACGCATGCGCGCCGAGTTCAGCGCCAGTCCTGCCCCCTCGCCAATTTAGTCCCGCCCTTTCCGCTTCCTGGGGGCGGGGCCCGCGCGGCTTCCGCTAGAGCCCGGGCCCGGAATCTAATCCCTGAGGTGTAGGGTCGCGGAGCTAGCGGTGCTGGAGCGCCCGCAGCCCCTGGCATCCCGCTGCAGCTCACGGCCGCGTTGACGTCTCCTGTGCCTGTTTCTATTTTCAAGTCCAGCCCTTACAGGATACTGAAACCCGCCTTCCCTGTTCCCCACAGCCCATTTCCAGCTGCGACTTACTGCAGTCTGAGCCCATTTACCTCCCCGTCCGGCCTTGCGGGGTCAGGGAAAGGCCGGGAGAGGTTCTTGCCCTGCTGTCGAGCCTCCCCTTTCCACTCTACCCCGACCATGGCCCAGAAGCCGAAGGTGGACCCCCACGTCGGGCGGCTTGGGTACCTGCAGGCTCTGGTCACGGAGTTCCAGGAGACAGAGAGCCAAGGTGAGGGGCGTGGGGTGGGCGCCGGGGGACCGGGCGGGGGTCCAGCCGCATCTGCCGTCTGGACCCGCTCCAATGCCGCTTCCTCGCTGCAGACGCCAAGGAGCAAGTCCTCGCCAACCTTGCCAACTTCGCCTATGACCCCAATAACTACCAATATCTGCGGCAGCTACAAGTCCTGGATTTATTCCTCGATTCGCTGTCGGAAGAGAATGAGAGCCTGGTGGAATTTGCTATTGGTAAGGATGGGCCCACCCCAGATACCTGTGGGCTGAGATGAGTGAGTTTGAAGTGAGCCCTTTGGGAAAGGAATTTGAAAGTACTTGGAGGGGAGAGTTTGGAGATCACCCTTGAATATAATATCAAGAGAGGCAAAGCTGACTGGTGATCTGTAGCTTAGGACTCCTGTAGTCATGACCTTGGGACATACTGAATTAGTGACAGGACAAAAGTTTATTGGCCAAGTGCTGTATAAGCAGGCACAGTCATAGTCCCATCACCATGGAGGCTGAGACAGGAGGATCACTGCTGGTTCAAGGCCTGCCTGAATCACATAGCAAGACTCTTAAAAAAAAAAAAAAAAAAAAACAGAAAAGAAGAAAGGGCTGGGACTCTTAGCTGGCAGAACCCAGGTTTAGACTTCATGGTGTAGTATTTCCATGTTCTTTGTTTCACCTGCATCAAGTAGTGCCCACAGCCCAGGGCCACTTTCGATCAATGTCATTGAGGAATTGCCACTGGGAGACAGCTTTGGTCAGGCCACAGCGGCCCTGGTTTGGGAGATTGGATGGGAAGTAGGTGAATTATGGAGAGCCATATGTAAAGCAGTCTCAGGAAGTACTTGTCCAGTGAATAAAAATATCTGAAGTGATGCTTTTTAAAATATCAGCTAGGTGTGGTGACACACCTATAATCCCAGCACTTGGGAATTCAAAGCCATCCTGAACTACATAGCCAGACCCTATCTCAAAAAGCAAACAGGGCAGGGGATTTAGCTCAGTGGTGCTGCTGCCTGCCTTGCAAACACAGGGTCCCATGTTCTATTCCCAGTACCCCCAAAAAAGCAAACAAAAGGCCAGGGATTTAGCTCAGTGGTTCCACCACCTTCCTTGCACGCGAAAGGTCCTGAGTCAATCCCCAGTACAAAAAAAAAAATCAGTGGCTATAGTCATGATGCTGCATGCTTATAATTTTAACAGTCGGAGCCAGGCGCAGTGGCACATGCCAGTAATCCAGCACTTGGGAGGCTGAGGCAGGAGGATTGCCTGGGCTACATAGTGAGTTCAGGACCAGTGTGAATTACAAAGGGAGACCCTGCCTCAAAAAAGAAAAGAAAAGGGCCCGGGATTTAGCTCAGTGGTCCTGGCACCTGCCTTGCAAGCGCAAGGGTCCAAGTTTGATCCCCAGTACAAAAAGAAAGAAAAAGAAAAATCTTAACAGGAGCTGAGGCAAGAGAATCTCAAGCTCAAAGAAAGCCTGGGATAAATGACAAGACCCTGTCTTTAAAAAAACAAACTGAGGGCTGGGATTTAGCTCAGTGGTTCTGCTCCCTTCCTCAAACATACCAAAATAAGAAAACAAGCATTGGTGACCTGAGGTATTGATTTGGAAGTGTTTGCGCAAAGAACCAGAAGTTGCCTCTCAGGTACCCTGAATACCTGTATGACTTTGACACTACCTAGAGATATAAAGAATCAGGAGAGAATTCTTTGCTCTCAAGAGAACTGATTGAATCCTAGTGTATCATAGAATCCTTGTCAGGTGTCTTTTGGTTTTTGGTTTTTCGAGTATTTTTTTTTTTTCCTTGTCAGTTTTGCTACTGTCAGGATTTAAGTAAGCGGCTTCCCAGAATTCATGTTTAAGGGCTTCTGTGTTCTATTTCCTGCAATACATGTCGCTACCACCAGATGGTAGTGGTGCTTAGCTAAAGACTGGTACCCAAGTCCTCAGCAGCCTCTGGGAAACAGCATTTTGTGAAGTGGAAGCTAGGCACACCCTGTGACCCTACAGTGCTCTTCATAGGGTTGGGGACATAAACATGTGCACAAAAAGTCGCCAGCAGCATTATTGATAACAGCCCCAAACTGGAGTGAGTCAACAGACACCACACTGGGCTGTTTGCCTTCTCACTCAGATCCACTTAATATGCCACTGCTTTTGTTTGTGGGTTCTTGGGGAGGCCCAGTGGCAGCCTGTGGGCTGGAAACAGGTGCATGCTTGGTCTACAGTCCATGCACGAGCCAGGAATCCTAATCCCATCTCTCGTTTCACTGGTGAAGAAATTGAGGCTTAGAGCAACAGATACTATTGCTGGAAACGTGTGCTGTGGCCGCAGTTGATCTGGCCACATTGCTGCTGGTGAGCACGTGAAGCAGTATCATGCTTGTGTCACCTGCTGCTCAGCCTCCTGGGTTCTTCAGGCCCATTTCAGTGTCACAGTAGCAGGTGGGACAGGGGCCCAGGGCTGCTGTGGCTGTGGCTGCTCCCAGGGCATCTTGGGTGGTCTCAGCGCCCCAGCCTGGCCTCCCTGCTCCTGAAGCTCCCTCCTCCCTGTGAGCTGCCCCCCTTCTCATCCCAAAGGTCACCACCAGCCAAAGGGTGACAGGGTCATTGTGTAGTGCCCTGGCAGCTGGGGAGCCCCAGCGGGTTCCTATTCCATCCTTGGAGGCTTTGAAGGCCTCTGTATGGGAGGTGCTTTGGCCATAGCCACTGTCCAGTGGAGCCATCTGATTATTTTCTGGCGAGGAGCAGGGTCCTGCCCATCCACACCCGGTGGTGATGGTGACACCTGAGTCCATGGCCGGCCTGAGTCTTAGAAATGGTGCAGGGAGGGCTGTGCTCACTCCTGACTGAGCCCAGCGGCCTACAGCTCCCAGGGGACGCCATGTCCTACACTCATGGCAAAGGGTTGCTGCTGCTATTGGGACCTTGGGGACCATTGTTTAACCTCTCCCAGCTTCAGCTTCTCCCACTAAAACAGGGTGCTGGTAACCCCAGTGGGTGGGTGCCGGGTTGCCCTCTGCTGCTGCCCATCCTCCTCGGGACTCAGTGAGGCTAGGTAGCTCCTCCTCTTCTCAGATGCTGGTGAGCCAGCCATGTCCTGAAACGGCACCTGGCCCAGGGGGACAGGATCTTGGGGAGCCTTCCTATCTGGCCGCCTGGGTCTCTGCAGTTCTGTAACCTCTTCCCGCGTGGCTGCTGAAAAACACTTCCAGTGAGCATGGTGTAGTGGTGCACATCTGTGGATGTGGCTGAGGAAGAAGGATCACAAGTTCAAGCTGAGCCTAAGCAATTTAGTAAGTTAATCAGAACCTGTTTCAAAATAAAAAGTTAAAAAAAAGGCTGGGGCTCTAGCTCAGTATGAAGGCCAGGGGTTCAACTCTGAGTACCGAAGGGAAAAAAGCACATGTCTATGGACCCCTTATTCTGCCAGCACTGTAAATGTGACCCCGAAGCACTCACCTCCCAGGGGGTCTTGGTAGGCAGTGAGGAGAAAAACAGATGCGCAGTTGATTTCCCAGGCTGTCAGTCTCTTAAGGACTGTGACAGGTGAGGAAGGGACACAGCATTACAGGGAGCTGACATTCCAAGGGGACCTCACTGGCCAGTGGAGCCAGGGAGTGTCTGTCACCAGCAAGAGGGTGTCAGCCTGTGCAGATTGGAGCCAAAAGGTCACACGGGTGGCCTGAAGTTGGCAACTGCATTGATGCCAAGGAGAGAAGAAAAGGCTGGTGTGAGGGGAAGGCCCTGAAAGGAAAGTTGGCTTCATCCTAGCACATAGGAAGACCTGAGGCTAAATGGAATTTTAAAAGTGTTTCCTGAGCTGGATCCAAGCCTCAATACCACCAAAAAAAGCAGGACTTCCAGCTTCTGCTCTGGAGTGGGCAGCAGAGCCAAACCTTGGCTGACTTCTGTCCTGGGAAAGGAGAGCCCTTAGCAGAGACATCACAGGCACCTGTACTCTCTGGGTAAAGTACTTGAGGTACATTCTAGGCCCAAACATTTGCTAGTTTCCAGAGAAGCGGGAATTGGCAAGGGTGTGTCCTCCCCTCTGAGCAGAAGGCAAAGAACAGGGATACCAGGAGGGCAGGAAGCTGGGTCAGAATGCACAGGAAGTCATCTTCCTGCACAGAGCCGCCCATGCCAAACGCTGACCTCCCAGCATCTAAAAGGGACCAGGAATGTAGCTCAGCAGCACAGCATCTGCCTGGCAAGCTCAAGTCCCTGAGTCAATTCCCAGAAATACACATATACATACATAAGAAAGCTGGGCATGGTGGTGCACACCTATTATCCCAGGATTCAGGAGGCTGAGGCAGGAGGATTGCCAAGAGTTCAAGGCCAACCTAGGCTACAGAGTGAGTTCAGAGCCAGCCTGATGTACATAGGGAGAGCCTGTCTCAAAGAAAAAAAAGAAAGAAAGCATAGCAGGCCATGGAACTGAGGAAAAGGCTGGGTGATCATGGGCCTTGGGAGAGAAGGCTGCAAGCTCCAGTGGACTTTGCATCTCTGGTCGCTGGCCAATTCTCATAGACCTGGACCCCCCAGGACTCACTGGGCAGAGAACGGGGGGTAGCCTGGTGCCGGATCCCAGACTTACCCTTGCTGTCCCACAGGGGGCCTCTGCAACCTGTGTGCCGACAGGGCCAACAAGGAGTACATCCTGCAGGTGGGTGGCATCCCGCTCATCACCAACTGCCTGTCCAGTCCCAATGAGGAGACCGTGTTGTCAGCTGTCACCACGCTCATGTACCTGAGCTCACCGGGCGCTGGCTCCCACCCTGAGCTCACCTCCTTGCCAGTGGTCCAGTGCATGCTGCGCTTCTCTCTCTCAGCTAATGTGAGGCTCCGGAACCTGGCCCAGATCTTCCTGGAAGACTTCTGCTCCCCAACCCAAGTGGCCGAAGCCCGCAGCTGGCATGCCCACTCTGCCCTGGGCATTCCCCTGCCAAGGACTGAGGCCCCCCAGCAACCTTGATCCAAGGGAGCCACAACGCCTCAGCACCCTTAACTCTAGAGACCAAGTCCTGGTGGGGGCTCAGTCCACCAAAGTGCTACCCACTCAGCACCTCAAAGGGGAGGTTGTTTAGCACACCAGGTATTTTTGCTGGGATGAGAAGTCATTAGGAGTGGGGAGGCCAGACATGGAGGTACAAACTGAAGCTAGTTCCTAGGCCTGAGGCTAGGCCAGAGGTGGCCAAAGAGGGTGGGCATGGAAGCAAGCTTGGTTCTGAAGCACTGAACTAAAGACTGGAGGGAGAGAGGGTGTCCTGGTCAGCCCCTGGGCCAGCTGCCCCCACCCCAGGCTCCTGTCCCTTTCTTTTCCCAAATAAGGGGACTTTAAAAGGCCAGAGAGCTCAAGTTTTTTATTAAAAAGATCTTGCCTGATTCTGCCATTGTAATTCTGTGCTGGCCATGCCAGCCTAGGGAAGTACCAGGGCCTGGGCCTGTGCGGGAGGGCATCTCTGAGAGTACTGTGAGGGTGTCCTGGCTCTGCAGCCCTCCCTTCAGTACCGTGCACTGCCGTCCTGCTCCTGCTGCACAGCTCCCCGCTTGCTGTCTATGATGGCCCTCCAGCTGTCGTTCCAGGACAACAGCCGTCTCTTTGCGGGGGGCAGAGCCAGGTGCTGATTATGGCAGCAGGTGAACAAGATGTGCTCCCAGTGTGGCATCTGCTCCAGGCCTGGGGCAGGAAAGCAGTGGGCGTATGAGCTGGTGTTTTATACTCCCTCTGTAGTTGGGGCAGGCAGGCAGGCAGGTAACAGCTCCAACCTCGAATGGTGTCCTTGTCATCGATGAGCAGGTCCCCCAGTACCATCGTCTTGTCCCTTGTCAGGATAATGCGCTCCACAAACTGGGCCCCGAGGTGCCGCTCCACCCAGCGGTACTGTAGGAGACAGCAGTGTCACTGGAGGCTGGGCCCTGAGCAGTGAGTTGCTTGAATGTCAATTTCCCCCTCCCCAGCCTTCACCGCCTGTTTTTGTGTGATTTATCTTTACACTGGGTCCTAGCCAAAAGGCCGAGAATTGATGTGTGATTTATCTTTAATGATTTAGAAAGCTAGCCAGGTATGACGATGCACTCCTATAATCCCAGCACTTGGGAGACTGAGGCAGGAGAATCTCTAGTTGGAAGCAGTCCTGGACTACAAGCAAGTTTTAAAGGCCAGCCTGAATGACACTGTAAGACCTGTCTCAAAAAAGAAATTTTTTCTTTTTAAAGGCGGCTAAATTTGATCGGGCGGCCAGTACCTTCTCGCCCACGCAGTGGTCGTACTTCAGCAGAGGGCTGGTGCAGATGAAGACCTCGGTGCTGCAGACAAGGGGTGACAGTAAGCGAAGGCGGTGTAGCCGCCGCTCCCCCTCCCCTGCCGCCGTCCTTTCCTCCCAGTCCTCCTTACTTTTGCATGTCATTCATCTCCCTCATGGCCTCCAGGGCCCCCGGAATGGGGTCCAAGTCTAGGAAAAAGCCCGGGGCTTCATAAACACTGGCCACTTTATCCTACAAGAAAGAGTTCTCGATTCGCATCTGCCACCAATAGGTGGCGCCCGAGCTAGGACGCATAATGAGCTCTCCAGGTCCGAGCATCAGAAAGGATTTTGTTGGAGCGCTGGGGGATAAGAGAGGGAAACGCTCCCAGACCTACTTGTGCCAGGGTGAACTATGGGTTCAGAAGAGGCCTGGCGTACCCCTGCAATCCCACTACTCTGGGGGCCTGAGGCAGGATAATTGCAAGTTCGAGCCCAGCCTGGGCAACTTGGGGAGACCCTTGTCTCAAAAAACTAGAAAAGGAACCTGGGGGTCTGGGTTCAACCCCCAGTACGGGGCGTGGGGGTGTTTTGTCCATTTCAAACGGAAAGGGACGTCCCCGGAATGGAGCCCGGCCGGTCCTGCCCACGGGGTGGCTCCAGTGACCTACCGCCAGGTCAGGCCGCAGGGCACGGTACTGCTCGCGGGCGAGGAAGCCCTGGCGCTGCTCCAGCGGAACGTGCGGCTCCTCCGGGAAGCGGCGGCGGAAGCCCCGCAGGAGGCCGCCCTCGAAGTCGGCCAGCACGCCGTCCATGTCCACCAGCACTCGCACAGGCCGCGATGCCATGGCCGCGGGCGAGAGCCACACTTGAACGAACGTGTATGGCGCCGAGCAAAGTGGGGGCCACTTCCGGAACCGCTGCAAGTGGGCGGAGCTTTGTGGGCTAATTTGCATAGGGGACCCCACTCGGGGCTGAGGGCTTCCGATCTACGCGTGCACGAAGCCTTCTAAGAAGATGGCGGGAATCGGCCTCAGGTTTAGGTGGTTACTTCTTGTTTGGTACCAGGAATCGAAGTTGGGACCTTGGCTTGCGAGGCAGGCGACAGCGCCATTGAGCTAAATCCCCGGCCCAGGTGGTTACTTTTCTGATCCTCAGCTTTGGCTTCTCTGTCAGCTGCCTCCCACTTTACATCAGACATACCCTCCTCACCCCACATTGTTACTAAGGGCAGAGCTTCCAGAGGACGATCTTAAAATATGGGGAGCATCTTCTAGGGAGACAGCTCCTCAAACGTGAGGGGCTGGCTCCGTAGACCCCATCGCTGTAGCTCGGGGCCATGGTGCGCTCTGCCCTTCCTGCTTGCTGAGGCTGGAGGGAGCCAGGAACCAGAGCTCCTGCTGCTTGAAAGAGGCGCCAGCCACCTCCCAAATCGGGGCTCCCTAGTCAATGAAGCGAACAGATCTGTAGACGACAACTAGGTTGTGTGAGACACTCTTTCAAAGAGACCATCTCTGCGCTCCCTTCCGCTGCACATGTAGAGACCAATGCAGAAACCAGCGTTGTTTTGAAGCGTGGGCGCACTTAGTAAAAGTCTGATTTTACTTGGAAAGGTGATTTCCATCCAGCTCCAGGAATCAGAACCGCTCTCCTTAATCTGAAACTTACATCGATCACAAGCTTCTGCTCTTTCCAAAAAAAATGCTGAAATTTAGAGATTTTGCTGATTGCACCACATTTTCAGGTTTCATCCAAACCTATTTGCCTACAGACTGTAATGACATATTTGAGTAATTGGCCCATCTTGTAGTTGTTCCCCATCAGGCCACCGTACTTCCAAACCAGTGTTGTCAGAAGTGTAACCAGCACTGCAAAAAGGAACTTTGAAAGTTAGATTTTTTTTTTTCTTTTAGAGATGAGCAACTTCAAACTTCCTCCTGCTGAACACAATACGCCACACCCTCTCCTTTCTGTATCAGAGGCCTTGCTGCGGGGAGCACGCTAGTGAAAGCAAATAGGTACAGACTTTATCCACCTGGGCAGGGCAAGCAAGAAGGCTATCAGCCTCGAACAAAGAAAAGGCAGGAAGCTTTAAAGGGGTCTGGCACATCTATGTCTATCACGTATAGGGGTCAGAGCAAGTATTTGTGGTCTGGGTCCATGAAGTGATCAAGGCAGGCATGTGTATTTTCAGGTGACTTGGCATTGAAAAGATGCTGTACTTAGTAGTTGTTATCTCTGTGTTGGGAACATCCCATCCTGTGTTCAGTGTCCTGTCTGCTCCAAGACAGCACAGCTTTTGTCAGGCAGAGACAGCAGCTGCACAGGCTGTTTTGTGGTGGTTTTTGTATCCTGTCAGACCTTAGCGTGAAATTAAAGGGCATATGCATTAACCATTTCACGACCAGGTCAAGCATGACACACTCCTCAGTCCAAAAGAAATGATGGACTATGCAGGTCCCTGCCTCAGGAGGCAGAAGTCCAGTTTCCTTTCCACAAGAAAGAGGATGAGCTGAAGGTGGCTGGAAGTGATGAGTAAGTGTGGAGATCTGCATTTTCTCTGTGCTCCCCTCCCTCTGTGCTAAAGCCCCTTACACCAGTACACACTAACATGGTGATTTGAGGCAGGTGGACCCCACAATCTCTCTGGAGTAGCTTTGAATAAACGCTTTTTTCCTTTTCCCAAAAACACATGGTCTCCTTTGGTCACTGACCAGCAAACAAACCAGAGCTTAGGAACCTGAGTGGCCTGGAAAAGAGCCTGACATCTCATTCTAAGGTGAGCTACTTGGAGAATGTGCAAGACAATATCTGCATAAGCTGTAAATACTAAGCTTTCAACTGTTTTTTTTTCCCATTACCAAGGAACTGCAGCCACACAAACTGAGTCAAAGGTCCATTTGTCAATTAAGTTACCTTTTGTATAGTCTTTTTATTCCATACTAGAAATTGAACCCAGGACCACTGCACATCCCTAGATTGTTTTTTTTTTTGGTACTGGGTATTGAACTTGGGTCCTTGCACTTGCGAGGCAGGTGGTGTCACCACTAAGCTAAATCCCTGGCCCTTTCCTAGACTTTCTGAGACAGAGTCTTACCAGACTATGCTCAAACTTGCCATCTTCCAGCCTCGGCTTCCCATGTACTGGGATTACAGGCATGCAGCACTATACCCAGCCACCTTTTGGGCCACTTTTAATAGTCATCACAATTACCATTAGTGCCAGGATTTAGCTCAGTGGTGCTACCACCTGCCTTGCAAATTCAAGGTCCTGAGTTTGATCCCTGGTACAAAAACAACAACAAAAAAATACCATTACCACTTTAAAATCATACAGCTTCACTTTTCAGACCCAGTTTCCTAAACCTAAAAACTGAATATCCTTTAGCAAACATGTTTTAAGTTTCCTAAAATAGTACCAAAATAACTGGTTGAACTATCACCTCACCTAGAACACCTTTCATTTTAATAAGGTCCTTATATATCTTCATAGAAGTTAAAGGCCAGGCGTGGTGGTGCACGCCTATAATCCCAGCACTCAGGAGAGGTAGGAGAATCACCATGAGTTTGAGGCCAGCCTGGGTTATATGAGTTCAAGGCTAGCCTCAACTACATAGTGAGACTCTTGTCTCAAAATAAATAAATAAATAAATTTAAAGCCAACTATCAAGGTACGGCACAAACCAGGCACATTCCTTTTCCTGGAGTGCCACCCTTAGGAACAGGCTGAAAAGATCAGTTTCCCTCTTTCAGATCTGTGGCAGAAACCCTAACAAGAGCCAGTAAAACTCATGTTGCCGTTTTAGTACTACTGGAAAGAACCTGTAGCATAGGTAGTTAAGTCAACATTTGGCAAATGCTTTATAAACTCATTAAGGAAAGAACCTAAAGTCCTACAACCTAGTAATCCTTTATTCTTCCAAGATATACCTAGTCATTCCATGGTATAACGTAACAAGCCAAAAGAGCACGACTAGCTGGTCAGTGTCACAGACACAACTAAGCCAGCTTGAGGAAGGCATTGGCACCATTGAGCTAAATCCCTAGCCAGATCTTGATGTGACTGATATTTGACATGCCATGCTGACAGGAACTCTCCCATCCTCAGGCTTTTCTAGCACTTGAGTCACGATCTCACTTTTAAAAACTTTTTTTGATACAGGAAGTTCAGACTGTCCTCAGAGAGTCTCCTGTTTCCGCTTCCCAAGTGCTGGGATTACAAGCATGGGCCATTAGGCCTAGCTGACACCCTTCTAATTATGTGGATGTTTCTTTCCTTCTTTTGTAGCCCCCCTTTGGACACCTAAGTTGAGAAGGACCTCTACAGTATGGAAATAAACTCATTTTGGTGCTGGGGGGAACCCAGATTTTTCCACATGCTAAACACATGCTCTGCTTCTGAGCTACACCCCCAGTCCAAGGCTCAAACTCATAAATATGACTGTCCAGCATAAAGGGTAGTAGTAATAGGGTCTCTTTCATTACTTTAAATGACTTATCCCAGGGAGGGATTAGTAGTAACAAAAAAGCCAGGGGTAGAACACTGAAACAATGTCAAAAAGATGACACAGGACACAGCGTTTCAAAATGTGGATAGTTTACTTGAAGCAACAGTCCAGGGGTGTGAAGTACAACACACATTTTAAGGATGAGACTTTCGTTTCATGGTCAAGCACCAGCATCATGCACACAGCATCGGGTTACTGAGGAAGAACAGCGCCCCTGAGGGATCTGCTTCTGCACAAGCCCCACCTCTGTGTGGCCGCCCTTGCTTGCTTCACTGCCTTTCACCAAGGGTGGGTCTCTGAGCCAGGGCAGCAGGCTCTGCTCATCAGCCAGCTGACCTCCTAAGGTGAAAAGGCAGCTTCTTTGCTTTGTAGACAGCAAGGTGCGGCCTCTTTATGGTTCTGTTATGGCACAGGAGCACTGAGCAAAGGGCATGGATGGGATAGGACAATGACAAGAGGTGCTGCACGACAGCCTGGAGCAGGGGCTGACAAGACGGTGCCTGTGGACTACTGACATCCTACTGACATCGGGCCGAGCACTCGAGAAACCTCAGTACAAATGAGCCTCTAACACATCGGAACCAGTCATTTGTTCTGACAACACAGTACTAAGTGTCACAAAGCCTTTCCTCCAGTCTACTACTAGAAAAACACTCATGCCATGGCCCACAGACCCAGGAGTCAGACAGAAAGTGAAACCTGTTTTTCAAAAAGGAAGGGAAAAAAAAAGACAGCAGTACATAAAGTGCTTCTTTTTTAATGAAACAAATCCAAAAGATGTACAGTCAGGCTCAAGTTGTGCAGTTCACAAGCATGGAGAAAACAAACAAACAAAACAACAGAGTTCAGGACAAGGAGTTAACCCAAGACCAGGCTGGACTTGCCACCAGGGGGGTTTCTCCTGGTCGGCATGGGCGCAGGGGCCACGGGGCTGGGCACGGGTGCGGCAGGCACGGGCTTCTCTTCACTCTGCCCCAGGCTGGCATGCAAGTCTGTGTCCACATTTTCTAGGAAAATAGAGAACAGAAAAAATGACACTAATAACCACTTCCAGTTAAAACTAAGAGGCTGTTTTTTTTTTCTTTTTTTGAGGATGGCTAGAAACATAAAAAAGAAATCAATAACCACTAATCATGTTCCTACAACTCAGAATTGACCACTATTGGTGTTTGGTGTATTTGTTGTCTGTATGTTCCTTTCAGATTACACAAGGGCTGGGCATGATAGTACACACCTGTAATCCAAGCATTTGGGAGGCTGAGGAAGAGGATCGCCATGAGTTTGAGGCCAGCCTGGGCCACATAGGGAGACCCTATCTCAAATAAACAAAACTTCATATTGGTTCATGTTGGACACCAATGAGAGTTGTAATTTTTTAAAAAATTAGTTTATGGTCTTCAATGACTACACGTTAAATGTCTACCTTCCTCTAGCATGCCCAAAGCCTTGGATTCAATTCCCAGCACTGCCCACCTGCAAAAAAAAAAAAGCCTTCCTAAAACTGTTGTTTCAAGTTTTGATTTAACCAACTGAAACTGAAAAGTCTAAGAGGGGAGAGATCTTTCAGTTTAAAAATTGTACTATTGGGGCTGAGAATATAGTTTAGCAGCACATAGCCTGCCTAGCATGTGTGAGGTCCTGGGTTCAATCCCCAGCACCAGAGGAAGGAGGGAAGACAAAGAAAAAAAACCAGGTGTAGGTACAGGGTGGCCCAGGCCTGTAACCCCAGCACTCTGGAAGGCTTAGGTAGGTGGATTTGAAGTTCAAGCCCACACTGGGGTATTTAGCAAGTACCAAGACCTTTTCTCAAAATTAAAAATAAAAAACAAGGCTGGGGAAGTAGCTCAGTATGAAGGCCTGGGTCCAGTCCCCAAGTACTACAAAAAGAAGGAAGGAAGGGAGAAAAAGAGTATTAAATACATCATTGTTAAGTGCACAAGTCTATGTTAAATTTAACTCAGGAAAATTTAGTTCAATTACTGAAATACAAAATAAAAGCAAAATAATACATATTAGAAAAAAAAATCTAAAATGAAAGAAGATACAGACTGTGAATTCAGCCTGAACAATTTATTTCTAATTGTTTCATTTCTGCTGGCTAGACATGGCCTCACTTTATAAATACACGAGACGTAACTGAACTCATGCCACTGTCTGGCTGGATCAAGCAGTTAATGATTATTGGGAAGAACAAAACTGCCCCACAACTCTACCACTGTAGTTAATCTTCATGAAATGCTCTTCAGATGAATCAAGCTCCTTCCTTCCACTTGAATAACTGCCTTACATCATTAATGGAACTGTTTTTGTTTTTCACAATGGAAAACAGCATACCAGTGCCAGGTGTGGTGGCATACACCTGTACTCCCAGCACTCAGGAGGCTCAGGCAGGAGGATCATTGGGAGTTTCAGGTCAGCCTGGGTTACATAGTGAATCCAAGGCCAGCCTGAATTACACAGTGAGACCCTGTCTCAAAAAACAAAAAACAAAAAAGGAAAAAGAAACACCAAAAAAAAAGAAAAGGAAATAAAAGCACCCATGGGGGGAGTACCCATGGAGACCAAAGGAACAGCATCAGGCCTTCATTTCAATATTTGTTTGTTCAGTTGACACTGCTCTGGCCAAAGAGTAAGGACCATCTGTTACCACTCTGTGATGAAGGAAGCACAATGGACCCTTGACTTACGAACTCAAGAACTCAATTTGTTCACAAGGGCTGGTTGTAACTCAAGTTGGTTAATAGGAAGGAAGGCTTAGTTAGAGTCCTCTACACAGCCTTCAAAGTCTCTCTCCTGTTTACATACAGATCTCAGTGCCCTTAGAGAGACATCTGCCCCGGATTTGTCATTAACCCCACACAGGAAGAGATGTAATGTTTCTTCCAGAACTCTTTAATGTTAAATCTGTATTTGAGACCATCTGGAAGCACAAGTGGCCAGTATTCAGGTCATTACTCAAGACTTTGTTCGTAAATTAAAACTAAAATTCCAGCTGGGCATGGTGTAATCCCAGTTGAGGCAGGAAGACTGCTGTGAGTTTGAGGCCAGCCTGGGCTACACAGTGAATTCAAGGCAAGTCTGAACTACATGGTAAGACTCTGTCAAAAAAAACCTAAAGAGCCTCAGATTTAGCTCTGCCTTGCCGCCTGCCTTGCAAATGCTGGGTCCCAAGTTCAATCCTGCTACCAAAAAACAAAAAACTAAAGGGGCTGTGGATTTAGCCCAGTGGTTCCACTGCCTGCCTAGCAAGGCTAAGGTCCCAAGTTTGATCCCCCCGTACAAACAAAACAAAACCCTAAAATTCTGGTCATAACCCAAGTTGTTCATATGTCAGGCTGGTCATAACTCAAAGGTCCACAGTATAGGAACTGAGAGCAAGTGTCTAGATACTTTTACAGCAATTTGACAGGAAATGCCTGAGTCTATTCATTCCAATAATTTTAAAAGATGGCGCTTTAAAGGAAAATGCTTCTACCAAAATAAACATTTGACTGATTGACTGACTGATAGACTGTGGTATTGGGGAACTGAACTCAGCACCTGGAGCATTAAATAGGCATTTTTTGTGTGTGTGGGGAGGGTTTTTTGAGTCGGGGTCTCACTATATAGTTAAGACTGACCTGGAACTCACTACATAGCCCAGGCTGGTCTCGAACTCATAGTGATCCTCCTGCCTCAGCCTCCCGAGTGCTGGGATTACAGGCCTGAGCCACCATGCCCAGCTATATAGGCATTTTAAACTAGGCACTGAGTTGTATCCCTGTAACCCCAGCTGGGAAGCTGAGGGAGAATCATAAATTTAAACCCAGCCTGGGGGCTGGGGATTTGGCTCAGTGGTTCTGCTGCCTGCCTGCAAGCACAAGGGCCCCAAGTTCATCCCCAGTACCAAAAACAAACAAATAAATAAACTCAGCCTGGGCAACTTAGCAAGATGCCATCTCAAAAAAAAAGAGGTCTGGAGATATAGCTCAGTGCAAACACCTGGTGTTCAGCCTCCAGTACTGCAAAAGGGCAGGGGGCTTTTTTATATGCCCAACTTAGCTGTCTTCTTTGGGTTTTTTTTTTCCCTTTTTTGTCTTTCTTCTTTAGAACATCAATAAGATAAATGAACAAAGACGCCTATGTCTGAATAGAAAAAATGATTCATTGCAAACATAAAAGAGTCACAGGGGGATAAAAATGTAGCAGACTGTCTAAACTGCTTGAAGGCCAGGAAAGAATTCTACCTAAACTTCCCAGATGTTAGGCTACTTCCTCAGCTGCTCCCTCTTTCTCAGAGATTTCCTGAAATCTCAATTCCAAAGTCCACTCTATAGGCATTCCCAGGCTGAATTATCTCAAAGATCAAGGCAGTGTCCTTTATGTTCAAACAAAACCTGATCACAGTACCTTCCTGTGCTACAGGCCTGCACCACCCCACCTGGCTCTGATAACCATTTAAATAAAAAAAGGAAGAAAGAAAAAGAGGAAGACACCTACAATCCCAGCACTTGGAAGGATGGGTTCAAGACCAGCCTAAACTACACAGAGAGACCTTGTCTTAAAAAAAAAAAAAAAAAAAAAGGAAAAAACAACAAAAAAAATGCACAGAATACCATTCAGTGTGCTATTTACCTGAAGAATCTATAACAAACCAAGGAAGACAAGATGGGTCAGGGAAGAGAACTACTAACTACTAGACTGAAGATTTACTATTTATATCATAATTCTCACAGCTTTCTCACCTCTCCAGGCTCCATATATATTTTTTGGTTTTTTGGTGGTACTCAGGGTTGAAACCCAGGTCTTGCTCATGCTAGACAAGTGCTCTACCACTGAGTTACTATATCCCTAGCCCTCTCCAAGTTTTTAATTGTATCATTGGCCAAAGTCATATTAGTTGATTCTGGGGCTGGGGTGCTTACCTAGCATGGGAAAGAGCCCTGGGTTTGATCTCCGCCCTACCAAAAAAAAAAATTTTAGCCAGGCAGTGGCCCATGCCTGTAATCCCAGCACTCCAGAGGCTGAGGCAGGAGGATCCCTGAGAGTTCGAGCCCAGCCTGGACTAATTAATGAGTTCCAGGCCATTCTGAACTACTTAGTGAGAACTTGTCTCCCAAAAAAGAGGCACAAACAGGCCACACATAGTAACTACATCTTCAGTCAGGTGAAAAAGTGATCAGGAAGACAGTTGGAGAGGGCAGAAGAAGAATTTTGTTCTCACCCATTCACCATCACAAAACATAATGGCAGGAAAGGCTGAGGAAGCAGCCACCTTCTGGCTGCAGGCACCAGGCACCAGTTAGCACGAGACGTGAGGCAGTACTGGCTGACCCTCCTCAGCAGCTCTCATACTTGTTAAAAGTGCCAATAAATACTTCAAAGGCTTAAAATAATTAAGTAAATAATTATAGCTCGTTGCCACCTATAAGTGGTTACGTGGATGGCTAAGTGGAAATTTACCTGCCCCCGAAATAATTATTTACAAAAGCACCAGCAGGGAAACCAGTGTCTTGCTAACTCAGTACCTCAATATTAAATGAAGTGAACTTTGTAAATTGAATGCTGTGAGCCTGGCCAGAAATATCAGAGCCTCTTCTTAAAAAGCTCTCAGGAAGGATAACAAAGATCAACCCAATCGATGTATGTGTATTGTCAAAGGAGCCCATTTTTTCTTTGTAGTAGTACATTTCTAACATTCATCTCATTGCTTGTAGATTGAAAATGCAGCCATGCTTACTAACTTTCTA